GGCTTTTGAGGCCTAGGGGCTGCCTAATGGATTCCTAGGCCGTGGGGGGGGCTCAGTGGGGATGACTGTTCTTGACTCTGAGAGGCTCCACTCTCCTCTGTGCTGTGCTCCCCTGGGCCTGGACTGACCGCCCAGGTGGTGCCTGTGTGGGAGGGGGTGGGGGGAAGGAGGAAGGTTCCTAACGCTGAGGTGGCTCATGGGGAGCAGGTGTCTGTTCCTTCCGCTTGATGTCGGGAGTAGCACTGGGCATTCTCTCGGGAGAGTTAGCAGAACAGCACATGGTGTGGGTGCTCCCGGGAGGGGGTGTGCTTCTGTCCCGCAGCTACCTCCCCACCCCATCCCACTTGTCACAGCATCCCCGTCTCTCCCACTCTGAGGGCGCCCGCCTGGCCAGCAGGGCTCACCGGTTTTGGATGCAGCCTCCGCGGCAAAGTCGGCGGCGAACTTCTTGAGGACGTCGGCGCTGGCCTCCTCCACGAAGAGCCCGATGAAGTTGGAGGAGGTGTAGAGCTCCAGGGGCAGCGGCACCGAGAACTTGCCCCTCCAGCGGCTGACGGTGGCCTGCAGGACCTCCCCCAGGGCGTCTGCCTTGCTGTCCTCACACTGGAAGGGAAGCGGGGGGCTGCACTCGGGGGCCAGGGGAGCTCGGCTCCACGGTCCTCAGGGCACCCTCCGCCCAGCTGAGGCTGTGACACCACCATACACACACACACGCGCACGCACACACATGCACACATGCGCGCACACGCACACGCACACCCCGTCTGTGAGGAGGGGAACTGCACACCCCCAATGACCTGGAACTGGATCACACAGCTCTTACGCCTGTGACTCCAGGTCCCGCCAGGTCCCGGCAGGGCTGGGGGCTGCTGCTCACCATGAAGAACTGGCAGAGGGTGATGTGGGGGAAGATGTTGTGCGCCTTGTTCTTCCCGCAGATCTGCTTCGACTGCTGCCAGAAGTCGGAGAGCTTCTGGGCCAAGGGGCCCGTGGGGCGCAGGTACAGCACGTACTCCCGGGGCAGCGGGTCATCCAGGAAGGGGTCGCCCACGTGGGAGAAGAGCCTGCGGAGAGAGCGGGCATCCTTGCTGGAGAATGGCCGGGGGGAGAGGGCTCAGACACTCCGCAGGGGGGAAGGGCTTTCCCTCTGTGCTAAGGATCCACCCCTCGCAGCTCACACTTCACAGCCGACCTCAGCCACAGCCTCGCCTGTGGGTGCCTCTTCGCCCACAGCCCCTCGGAAACCTGAAGCCCTCTCCAGGCGGCATTCGCAGGCGAACCCCAACCCCACGGCCGTTCAACGGGGTTCCTTCAGCTCCGTCAGTGATTAAACCGGTGCCTCCCAAAGACAAGGGACGCTCGGAGCCGCCCTGGGCTCTGCCCTGGGCAGTGACTTCCTGAAAGGTGAGTAGGGTTTTCCCTCAATTGACTTGCGCAGCCTGCACACAGCTTCTTTACATCTGTGGTGGCTGGAGGGCGGCAGCTATGGGCCAGGGCTCTCTTAGAAGCACTGCTAAGGAGAAGCACGCCCTGGGCAGCGGGAGGAGGCAATTGGCGGGATGAACGGTCCAGTCACCCGCTCTCCCTTGCCCTACCCCCCAGGTTCACAACCTTGCTCATCCGCATATATTTAGAGCCAATCAGTGTCATTTTCTCATTTAGTTATTTTATACCAACCAGTCACACGCGGCTTGAACACTTCTTCCTCCGGTGGACGCCAAAGCTTTTTGTCTAGAAGAAAAAATCAAATTTCTGTTGTTAGTGTTTTTAGCCTCTGGTCAACTGCTCATTGTGGTGGCAGGAGGTGATGTGAAGTAAGGGACTAAAGCCTCTCCGAGGTGGGCAGACACTGGCAGCGGGCTCCCCAAGGGCCACAGCCAGGCGCTGGGACACAGCATGGGCGCTGACCTCCGTGTGGCCAGCACGGGCCTGCAGGCAGCCTGAGCCGGCTGGACGGTCAGCAGGCTCCACACTGGAGTTTTAGTTCTGCTTCCCTGAAGGTTGTCATGTCGTGGGTTTTCCTCCCTCATTCTCATGCACTCACTCTCACTGCCCTAGATCCCTTGCAGGATGTTGTTTATTCGCAGCCCTTGGCAGAGCGTACGAGAAAGTGGGCCAAATGCCCACCAAGGACAGTTATTTGGTTTAATTCAACGCCTCCTCCTGCCCACCTCCAGCCACCACCACCAGCCTCAGGTGGACCCGTGATCTCCAACCAGTTCAGACACCTTTGGGCTCCAGTGTCCAGAGCAGCGCTGCTGACCCCCCACTGCTGGAGAGAGGAGGATGGCTGTGGAGCGAGGCCCTTGCGCGCCAGCACACAGCACAGTAGACGCTTCTGAAGTTTCTGTCTGGTCTCCAAGAGCTGAGAGTTCTGGGTTTGTGCCCAGCTCTGCTATTCACCCACCCATTCGTGCACGCATGCTTACGACGCCCATTCAAGAAATCCTTAGCGAATTGCTGTTATCTCATCAACACTGTTCTAGGCTCTAGGAATACAGCGAAACACAACACTTATGTGGCTCCTGCCCTCATGGAGATCTCAGCTGAGCAGGCATGAAAACATTCATCTGTACAGGTAATTATTAATCACTACTGTGGTCGGGGCAGTGAAGGAAAGTAGGGGAACATAACATAGGACAGGGAGACCAACCCAGGCGGAACGGTCAGGGGGTCAGGGAAGGCTTCAAAGAAGAGGTGACACCTTAAGTGAGACCTGAAGAACGCGGACGGACCCCTCTGGGAGGGATGGGGGTTCGCACGGGGCTGTGGTAGCGAAGGACACCAGTGCATCGACTCTTTAGTCAGGTGCTTGACCGGTGCCTGACACATGGGAGATGCCAATGAACACTCACTCCCATCCTTTACCCGACACGGATTCCGGGTCCTTGGGAGAGAGGAGCGAGGGGACGGAATGTCTCCTTTTCCCAGTTGGCTGCTGAACCCAACTCCTCTTTCCTTTTCGTGGTCCCTCTATGAGCAATGAGAAGGGCCGGTGCTGTGAGAATCATGGGAGATCCGACTGGCAGGGACCTCAGAGATCACCTGAGACCGGAGTTCTTCCCTCCACACAGGGAAGCTGGGGAGGAAGGACAGCGACTTGCTGAAGGCAGCCTGGCGAAGGGGACGCCAGTGCAGGCCAGGCTCCTGCTCTGCTCCACAGGCCAAAGGCAAGCGAAATGCCTGCCTTTCCTGCATGAAAACCTGAGCACAGACACCAAGTGAACAGGGTGAAGAAACTGGCACAGCTAAGGAGAACAGCTCCTAGAAGACACGCCTCCTTTCAGTAAATAAGTTATGAAAAAGCAGGGCCAGTGCTCTGGGCCCCTCAGAATTTCTCAGGACAGAAGCTGCTGAGGAAAAGACTGGAAAACAAGTTCCCCTCCTCCCCCCGCCCCATGCCCACACCTGGGTAAGGGCTTCGTGCTGGCCTGTTGCCAGCCGTTTCCTTTACTGTTTACTAGGCCATCAGAGAACATACCTCTTGCCTTTTTTTGGATCCCACAGAAGAATGCAAATCAGTCTCTTAGAAGTTAGAATCTACTAGGAATTAAATTAATCAAAAACGCCTATTGTTTCAAAAACAATTGAGAAAAGGAAAACTCATTTGTGGTACAATGTGCTATTTATATAAAAGATCCCATTTTTTTCTATGCCCTTCCCCTGGTGAAATATACCTTACTGAAATTTACTTTTCTTTAAGCACTAGGAGAATTCTCTGGAAATGAAAGGTCTAATTAAGTCATGGTCTCCATGACTCGAAAAACAAATTTTAGAGGGGGTTCAAAACTATAATTGAGACAGACAATGGAGGGTTTGGGTGATAAGGCAATGATAAAAGTTTATGGGGATCCAAATTCTTCTTTGTGAAGAAGACACGTCTGAAAAGTCTTATGGGAATAACACCTCTCCTTCTGAAACTATTCAAAGAAACTCAAGAGGAGCGAAGCCTCCAGGCTGGTTTTAGGCTCATTACGAGGCCAGCATTATTCTGAGTAAAAACATGACAAAGACATTACCCTGATGAACACAGCTGCAAAAATTCTCAACAAAATATTAGCAAGCTGAACTCAGCAATACATTAAAGAGATCACATACCATGATCAAGTGGATTTATTCCTGGGTGAAAGGTTGGTACAATATCTGCAAATTAATTAATTTGATATACCACATAAGCAAAAGAAAGAATAAAAATCATACAATCATATCAATAGATGCAGAAAATCCAGCACCCATCCATTTACAGATATAAAAGCCTAATATGCAAAGTGAGTTCGACTGGGAGACCAGGATTTCGATCACTCGCTATAATGTGTGCTGACCACCAGGGGGCGGCGTGGACCAAAGGAAGGCCCAGCCGGCAGCTGGCAGCCGCAGCCGGCAGCTGCTAGAGACCCTACCCGTGCACGAATTTCGTGCACTGGGCCTCTAGTCTGTATAATAAAAGCCTACGTGACTGTTATGGCAGAATGACCAGAATGACTGGTCACTGTGATGCGCACTGACTACCAGGGGGCAGATACTCAATGCAGGAGCTGCCCCCTGGTGGTCAGTGTGCTCCCACAAGGGGAGCGCCGCTCAGCCAGAAGCCAGGCTCACGGCTGGAGAGTGCAGTGGCGGTGGCGGGAGCCTCTCCTGCCTCCACGGCAGCACTAAGGAGCAGTGAGCTGAGCGGTAAAGAGCAGCAAGCAGGCGGGCAGTAAGGAGCGAGGGGTCCCGGACTGCGAGAGGAATGTCCGACTGCCAGTTTAGGCCCGATCCCCCCAAGGATTGCACAATTTCGTGCACCGGGCCTCTAGTTATAATAAAAACTCTCAGCAAAGTGGGAATAGAGGAAACATACCTTAACATAACAAAGGCCATATATGACAAACCTACACCTACATCATACTCAACAGGGAAAAGCTTAAAGTGGTTTCCTTAAGATTGGGAACAAGACAGGAATGTCCACTTTCACCACTCATATTAAACTGAGTATTAGAAGTGCTAGCCATAGCAATCAGATAAGAAACACAAATAAAAAGCATCCAAATTGGAAAGGAAGAAGCAAAACTGTCATTATTTGCAGATGACATGATACTTTGTATAGAGAACCCTAAAGATTCCACCAAAAATCCAATAGAACTGATAAATGAATTTATTAATTAGTGGGGCACAAAATAAATATTCAGAAATTGGTTGTATTTTATACACCAATGATGAAATATTAGAAAGAGATACTAAGAAAACATCCCATTTTCAATTGCCTCAAAAAACACCCACAACAACCTAGGAATAAATGTAACCAAGGAGGCAAAAGACATGTACTCAGAAAACTGTAAGACGCTAAAAAATAAATTGAAGAAGATACAAGTAAATGGAAGCATATACTGTGTTTATGGACAGGAAGAATTAACATCAGTAAAATATCTATACTACCCAAAGCAATGTGCAGATTCAATGCAATCTGTAAAAATACCAATAGCGTTTTTCACAGTAGAACAAAAAATCCAAAAATTTATATGGAACCACAAAGACCCTAAAGAGCCATAGCAATCTCAAGAAAGAAGAACAAAGTTGGAAGGATCACACGACCTGATATCAAACTATACTATAAGCTCTAGTATTCAGAATAGTGTGGTACAGGCATAAAAACAGACACATCAATGGAAGAAGAGAGAGCCAGAAAGAAATCCACATCTACCTTGACAATGAAAATCTTACCAAAAAAAAAGGCAAGACTATATAATGGGGTTAAAGACAATCTATTCAGTAAACAGTGTTAGGAAAATCGAACAGATACATGCAAAAAATGAAATTAGACCACCTTCTTACATGATATACAAGAACAAACTCAATATGGATTAAAGACTTAAAAGACCCAAAACCATAAAACCCTTAGAAGAAAACATAGGCAATAAACTCTGACATTTCACCCTAGCCGGCTTGGCTCAGTGGATAGAGCGTCAGCCTGCGGACTGAAGGGTCCCAGGTTCGATTCTGGCCAAGGGCACATGCCTGGGTTGTGGGCTCAATCCCCAGTAGGGGGTGTGCAGGAGGCAGCTGATCAATGATTCTCTCTCATCATTGATGTTTCTATCTCTCTCTCTCTCCTTCTTCCTTCCTATCTGAAATCAATAAAGAAATATATTTTTTAAAAAAACCTCTGACATTTCTCTTAGCAATATTTTTTTCTGAAATATCTCTTAGAGTGAGGGAAACAAAAAAAAATGAACTAATGGGACTGCATCTAACTAAAAAGTTTTTGCACAGCAAAGGAAACTATCAATGAAATGAAAAGACAACCTAGTGAATAAAATAAGATATCTGCCAGTGATACATCAGATAAGGGATCAATAACCAAGATTCATATAGAACTTAACACCCCCTCCTGAAAATCCAATTAAAATATGGGCAGAAGACCTAAATAGACACTTCTCCAAAGAGGACATAATATGGCCTGTAGACATAGGAAAAAATGCTCAAAGTCACTAATCACCAGAGAGATGCAAATTAAGACCCCACTGAGATATCACCTCACACCTGCCAGATGACTATCATCAATAAATCAACAAACAAGTGTTGGTGAGATGTGGAGAAAAGGGAGCCCTCAAGCACTGTTGTTGGAAATACAGACTGGTGCAGCCACTGTGGGAAACAGTATGGAGGCTCCTAAAACATAAAACATGGAAATGCCTTATGACTGGGTATATGTCCAAAGAAATCCAAAACATTAATTTGAAAAAATATAT